TTGAGTTTGACCTTGGCTATTCAGTCAACTTGTCTACACATCAGTGTGCTTGTAGGAGATGGGATTTAACAGGTAAATTGGATTCTTAATTTATTTCTTACACTTATACTCTACAAAATTGTTGAGATTCATTGTGTGTCTGCTTTTTATTGACAGGTATACCATGCAAGCATGCGGTTTGTGTTCTTGATGATAACAAAGAAGATCCAGAGAAGTATGTGGTTGAGTATTATTACACTCATGTTTTGAAGACTACATATGCTGACAATATAAAACCTGTCAATGGTCACACCATGTGGAAGCATGTAAATAAACCTCCAATTGGAATACCAGAGATGCGGAAGCCACGAGGTAGGCCAAAAAACAGAGACAGGATTAAAGAGCCATTTGAATCATTCAAGAATCCAGGCAAAGCAACAAGACATGGTAGGATACCAAATTGCAGAAATTGCTTACAAGCTGGTCAGATTAGGACTAGCTGTAAGAATGAAACTGTTGTGTTTGAGGGACCGAAAAATAGACCTGGAAGGCCAGCTAAGCTACCATCAGAGGTACTTTCTTCATTTCTTTGTTAAGATTTTCATTAAGTTTTTATCTAAACAACCTTCTATTAGACTCAGCTGCTGCGTCCACCAAAGCCAAGAAGAGAAAGGCAAACTCCGGCTGCTGGAAGTAACTCCCAACCAACTCAGTATTTGTTGTCAGGTTGTCTTTAATTTTCAGACTCATTAAGTACCTCCTTGTAAGTTTACTTGCTATTTCCATGCAGAGGCAACGAAGAACAAATACTAGCACCTTCCAACCAACTCAAAACATTGAAGCAAGTTCCCAAACTCCAGTAACTTCCAGTGCTCCTCAGCCATCAGCCTCATCAAGTAATCCAAAACCACCTGTCAAGAAGGCAGCACGAGGAAGACCATTGAAGATAAGGAAAACTAGTAACATCCCATTTGGTATGGGAACTATGTGGAGTCCTTTCAGTGATCGGTCTTTTGAGGTTTTTGGAAACCGGATTTATGACAGGTCTGA